TCCTTACTTAGCTATACTCTGATAGCATAAAATGTTTTGTCATTATGAATAACCAAGTGAAGAAATAGAATTAAATATCCCTTAAGACATATTATAGTGTATTTATACTGTAACTCCAATGAAAACCTAGAATAAATGAAAATACTGAAAATAACAGGCTACTAATTTAGTTCCTCATTTTAGGTTGTGGTTTGATGCGGTCACAGTTGGGGGTTTTTTTCTGATGTCTCTTCCTGAATTCCTCTAGATCACTAGCAAAGAATCAATGGGAATTGATCCAATTTGTAGAACACAATTCTAATATTGATAGTAGTTTATATTCATTTGTTTCACCCTAATCTTTTATTAATGTTCATTTGCAAAATGCTGTTCATGCTGTTTCTTCCCCGTTTTGTACCCCCAAGCTGGTGATGATAATGAAATTTAGAGAAATGTAGCAAGAAATAATGAAGTTATATATTTTGGAATTAAATATGACATTTACTATTTTTGTAGTCATTTTTCAGTAGATGGCTTTAATTTCAGATAAACAGTGACCTGTGTAGAAACTCAGGTACATGAGAATCCTATAGTAGTAAGAAGTTGTGTCTGTTTGGTTTTTTCAATTTTTCTTTATGTCCTTCAGGATGATGGGCCAGGGCATCAATACTGAATCATTTGGGGACTTTTAAGGATGCATCATCAATAAAACGTGTCATACAGACATATCTCCCTGGTACAAAAGAAGCAATAACTGATGGCATCGCTTTCTGTTACCAGTGGAAAAAAAAAATCACTGGCGACTTTTCTATGAATAGCAGAGCCATGGTTAAAAGTATGTTTAATATAATTTTTGAGGTTAGGATTGCACAAAGCACTTCAATGTAAGTAGCTGTGAAAATAAATGTGTGTGTCTGTTTTGAGGTGTTGCAGGAGCCGAGAGAATGAATAACAATAGTAAATATTTAGTATTTGTATTTTCTGATCATTTTGAAGGGTTAAAGATATGTAAATTAAAGCATGAATGGTGTTTAGTAGCTCCTGCTGCAGTCCAATAAAAGGGAGTAACTTACAGGTTTCAGTGGAAATCTCATTGGAAAAGGTTCCTCACTTTCACATAAATCTTTGGTGCTATCTGTCTGCCATTGGGCCACCTAAACTTCTTCTGAACTTGTATGATTAAGCCAAATCCTCTTGCTGCTTTGAAGATGTTGTCTGTGCTTGGGCTGAACTGACTAAACCTGAAACTGTTCCACCAAAAAGCTAGAGCACTCTCCTATCATGTCAAAATAGATGTTTGTTGGGGGTTTCTTTAATGCCTTAAGGTATGTGCCCAACTTAATGAATGGTGGCTCTGGAAATAGCTGTGGAAAGAGGGAATGAGATATTTTTCATCATGATGAGGGGGTTTTCCCTCTCAAATGAGGCCTCTCTCAAATGCTTCTGTGAAAGAAAAGTGTAGCAGCAATTGATAAGGGGCGGCTTGCTCCTTTTTTTCTCTTTGGTACTCAAGGCTTCACTTCTCATCTTCCTCTTCCAAAAGCCTGTTTGGGACTATAAAAAAAAAAAAAGGGAGGAGGGGGAGAAGAAGGAACTCCTTTTTATCTTCTTCCTGAAGTTTTGCATACTTACAGGTAAAAGTAATTCTCTGTTGAATTAAATGTTGGGGTTTGTTTTGTTGTTTTTTGGTTTTTGTTTTTTTTTTCTTTTTTACATAATGAATCAACCGATTACTGCTTAGGTGTTTTTTAAAGTGTAAGTTTTGTTTCACTGAAAAGAGGCTTTTCTGAGCAGCTAGGATATCAGAGACCTTGGTTTAAATTCCTCTTGTCTGGTACAGAAATTCAACCAAGATGTTCAGCCTTACTGGAGAGTTGTTTTGAGGTACATCTCTCTCTGTCAGTTCTGTGAAACCTGTTATAGAGTGATTATAGCATTTCTCTGAGGGATGAGGCACCGAGTTCAGCCTCTGCTTTGACTTGGACTGAGCTGTAAATTTTTCATACATCAGGTGAATTGTTCCAGGTTATATAATTCATTCCCTTCACTGTTTTTGGTACAGCGAGTAGTTCAAGAAGTATAATGATGTAAAATCATTCATTTTGTTTAGCAAAGCCAAGTGGAAAATCTCCTGATCCTACAGCACGGTAGTCATAAGAAATACATCACATCTTAACATTCAGGCCCTTTACCACCCATTCAACAGAGCGCCTTCACAGCAGTCGCATGGTGAAATGTGCCATGTAAGTCAATAGTACTTATTTCTGTTAAGTTTTAACGGGGGTTCCCAAGCAAAGGCAAAGCTGGATCTTGTGACAGAGCTGAAGTTAAATTCAGCCCAGTGCAGGGGGCCACAGCCCAAAATGTAGGACTTGGGCACAGACTTATCGTTCAGTGAAATGGATAGAATTCACCCACAGCAAGAACTGAACTTCAGTGATCATCATTAGTGACAGTCGTTTTCCAGCCAGTGACCATAATATAACATTAGTTGAATATCATGTTCGATATCAGGTGGAAAAGTAGCATTTCTCAAAGAATGAGAGGGTGAATAATGTCTGTGTGGTTTTGGATTGTAAATAAGTGCATTGTCACTAACAGATATCCTGTAAATATCAGTAGTGTTAAAAAGAGACTAATCCCCTCATTTCTGTCAGTGGAGGGATTGAAGCCAAGATTTTCATGCTAAATGGCTGCAAGTAGTTGTAGCCCGGTTTTTAAAGCTGCTGCTCTCATGTCCTGTTGGCTGTATTGAATGCACAGCATTTCTGAAATGGAGACTGCTCCTATTTAAACTCCTAAATGAGCCTTGCTAGAGGGCATCAGCATCGGTTGTTTTGTGAGGTGTTACGAGGAGGGCGGCCCATTTCTGGGAATGCCATGGCTGAGGGAGTATCTTGGGTAAGAAAGATCAATTCCTTTTGCAATTATATTTTGCACATGACGCCAGATGCTACAATGACACACAGAACACTCCAGTAGCTTTCAGTGCATCTTCCTCCTTCTTCATCGTTATGAGCAGTGTGTGGTTAAATCTCCTAGAAGGCAGTCAATCTTTCAAAATGGTGATCAGCAGGTTCATTGCTTGAAATCTCGGTCTGAGCTTTCTGTAGTCGATTATAAACATTTGCCCTAAAAGAAGTAGGCACAGCCTCTGCCTCTTAATTTAACAGAAGTCCCATCCTTCTGTCTTTTACTGCTGTAATTTAAAACTCTGACCCAGTCAATCCTTGAATGCAAATAAGTGAGCAATCTGGAGAAGCAGAATGTTGATCCAGTCACTCTACAGCCATTTTCAGAGCAGCTTTTAAAGGTGTCCGTGACATTGGCCGTTAGTGAGCCAGCAAAGATGAATGGACCAAAAAATGAACATATTTCACTTTTTTCATCTGCCAAGATGAAACACCATCGCGGTGTTTGATTGTTTTTTGTCATTTGCTCTTTTATTTTCTTAATTTGCACAACAGTATTTTAAAAGGCATGCTATCAATTCTTTAATTGACTTTTTTAAAGAAATATTTTTTCCAGGAAGTCCCCTTAAGTGGATTGGTCTTGAGGATTTTGGTTTCCTTTTTGTTTTTCTTTTGTAATTCATTTAAAAGATTTTGATTTGTAAGGATGCTGTCTCTATAAGAATGTTTTTTTTAAAAAAATGGAGAATATGAATGTTTGGCATCACATTTTAAATATGAGATTGACTGAGCTAGTAAAAGCGTCCAGAGAAAAAATCCACTTACGTTTTTTTGTAGTTGAATTTCATACATAGTTGCCTTAGGTGTTTTGTGAAACTTCAGAATGATTTTTAGCAGCATGTGCATTTTATTGAAAAAGAACGGTTACTTTCAGTCACTATAGAAGTCCAGAACGTATCTGCTTGTGAGAGAGCAAAGCATATCTTTCCTATTCAGGGTCTTTACAATAATTAATAAATTATCTGACACCTGTCAACAGGAAAAAGAAATAAGCAGCCTATTGTTGTGGTAGTGATATTCTTGCAAAGAGGTTTGCTTCTTGCAGTTTTTTTTAAACAAAATATGAATGTTTCATTTTAGGTGTTATCTGTTGGACAGTGCACCATCAAAAGTAAATTAAAAATAGAATTTAAGTTTAATAAACAGTTTTACATTAAGCTATATAGATGAGAGTAAAAAGATCTAGTGATATTGACAACGAATTCCTTTGGGTTGTGCTGTTTTGTTTTCAGAGCCACTGGGATTTTTATTTTATTTTTTGCTTTGAATTATTTAGTTCATTATTATGAGTTATCTTTGCGGTGCTTTGTGGTCTTTTGATCAGCAATTTATCTTGGGGTCTTAAAACACATGTTCATTTATGTGTTTAGCTGACCAGCTGCCTTCCCCCTTTTTTTTTTTTTTATGTGACATTAAAATTGAGTGTTTCCTTGCAAGCATCTTTCAGCTCAGAAAATGCATCTTACTCCTTATGCTGCTAAACTGTTGCCTTTTCATAGAGGGGCTCTACCCCTTTCCCCTGCCCCATCTTCCAGAAGAGGTAGAGCAGCCCCCCCGCCATGCTTGCCAAGACACAGTCGTCCCCCCCGCCTCCTCCCACAAAGAGGTGAAGTCCCCTGAGTCTGTAATTGCCAGGAGATGAAGCGATGATGGGGAGTGATCACAGTCAATAGCTTTGATTAACAATAAGGTGGAAAATTAGCAATGCTAGCATTCAGCTCCCCTGCCTTCCCGTCCCCATATGCTCGCCACAGCCTGCGCTGGCTGGTTGGCAGGGTGGCCACTGCGCCTGGCGGGCTGCAGAGCGAGACTTGGGAGTGGGCAGAGAGGGACAGTGGGCAGCGGTTTGGGGACCCTGGGCAATGCTCCCGGCCGCCTTTCGCTGGGCACCACCACGCAGGCGGGGGAAGGACGAAGTGTGCCGTGCGCTGGCACTGTGGCTCTTGCTGTCATGTGTGGATTTAATTGTGTCTGGACATGTTGTGATCGAAATGGCAACTACTGTTTCTCCTGTGACCCCATCAGCAGCTCTGGTGTTGTTTCCGACAGACTCCGACGACCTAGAGAGGGGGAACGACAGCGGGACACCACTCCCCACCTCTGATAATGGTGACAATTCGCTGGGCTACACAGGTAGAGTGCATCTTTCCAAAATATTCCTGACTGCCTACTTCTGACGCTTTCCACCTGCATCTGCCATTACCACCTGTACACGGTTTTTTAATCATCTTTGCTAGCTGGCTATCTTTCACCGTCACCCTAGAAGTTCAACGTTGTTAGTACTGTTGGGAAATATTATTGTGCCTTTTAACTAACCAAGATGACTGTCTTTTTGTGTGTGTTAGTACATTTCAGTTATTTAAATGTTTAAAGTAATTTTCTGTTGTTGAAACAATGCACCCATTATTTTCCTTCAAACTGTGTATATTAATGCATGAGACAATATATCATCTCAGAGAAATTTTTCCAAAGGCAGGAATTTTTCCATATGTTTATTTTGTTTTTTTTTTCTTTGTTTCTGTTATAAACAAAAGTAAAATATATTGCAGCAGGGAAAAAAAATCCAAATGAAAGTAAAATGTGACGGGAGAAGAATCTGTTTCGTTGACTTCTGCTTTGCATAAACTAGAGAAACGTGTCTCTAGGCCAAATAAGAAAAGCCACAGATAAGCAGCACCATACGGTGTGTTGCAGCAGCGATCTCTGAGGGACCCTATTCTGTATCTCCTCTGCACACCGAAACGATACCCAGCTCCAGGAGTCACGCTACTGACCACAGCCTGGGCTCAGCGACAGAGTCCCTGAGTCTAGGGCTTTCATGAACTACTGGTGGTCCAGTACAGTGGCAGAGTTTAGATCTAAATAACTTTCAGGTTGCGAAGGTAAGTATTAATTCTTCTGGTGGTAGCAACTTTTGGAAAGGGAAGGAGGGAGAATGAGTTGGACATTGAACTGGAAGATGTTCTTTAAATACTTTATTGGTGGGTTACTAGTGCTACGCCTGCTCACGCTGTGTAAAATTGCATATAGTTATTAACAAAAGTGTGTGAATCAGATATTCATAACTAAGACAGTCTTACAGGGTACAGGAAGAAGATGGGCAGGTATAAGAGTAAGGGAGTAATTTCTTGTCCATTCATAAAACTTCAGGTTTGTTATACACCACTTACAATGATTACAGCTTTCATCGCCTACCCCTCGCCATCATCCCTGCATGTGGTGTAAAACCTTGACACATCATTTTATTCCAGTTTAAAATACTTTTTTTCTAAAAAGGTAAAAAAGCAAAGCAATACGAATTTCCCCGCAGTCAAGAAGATAGATGCCTTCTTAGAAAAACATAGCATGAACCCTGCTGCATGTGGATTATTTAGACTTTTCTACCTTTTGAATATTCCTATTAATTTTTTTCTAAATATTCCCCCCCACTCTCAGAGTTTGGCATATCTATGCTCCCTGATGCATATGGGGTCATCACAGTGACAAAATGAAAATTAATATAGCTTAAAGAATGCTTTTTTTTCACTCACTTTAAGTTAGATTTTTGCTTTCAGAAAACAGGGCTGAGAATGGTGATCTCTGAGTCTTGTATTTAAACAGCTACTAATTTGCTTGGGACCACGAGTCAGACTCCATTATTAATAAAGTTGCTTAGTTTTACCTAGACAGGAGCAATGGGTTCCCCTCCAGCCCCACCGCCCCTCCCTGGCCTGGGGCTGGTGCCCGACAGGCAGATTCCCGCGCCCAACAGCCTCACGTCTGCCCACGGAGGGGGGAGAGGGGGCCCTGTGTGTGCCTTCCACAAGCCCCCTTTGCCACAAGAGTAGCGGGGGTAAGAATTCAGGGGGAGACACCATCACCTTTTCCAACTGGCATGTTTCGGAGAGGGGCTGGAGGCTTGGCATGGGACCCCCCATGGCAAGCGCGCCGGCTGGGCGATGGCAGGCAGAGGGTGCAAGGGCTGCAGGTGGTGCTGCTCCGCAGTGGAGACTTTGTCCCCCCCTTGCAGGGCAGTATTTAAGGCATATAATGCAGTGTTTAAGACAGTAGCTCCCCTCTGAGCATGGGGACGTGGGATGACTTCCCGAGCAGAGCACAGACCCTTCTGCGTCTATCCACCCACGAGGATCCTTCACCCGTATCAAGGTGCACATGTGCGTCTGGGCGCCGCATCCGAGGACAGGCCTCTGCGGGGTACTGCAGCTGTTTAACCTGCCTCTCGGAGACTAATGGGGTCGTTTGGGAGGACTGGCAAAACCAAACCCTGGCCTAGTAGTTCCCCAGAGGCTCTGGATCTTAACTCAAGTCTGTATTTTAATAGGCATTTTCCAAGCAAGCACAAAAGTCAGGATCAAGTTAGAAGCAAACACAAGCTGAACAAAAATGAAAACCGAGAGGATGGCTGGTTTTGTTTAATTGGAGTTTTTGTGCCTCTGTTTGAATGAGCACTGAATGAAGGAAAGACCAAGTTTTTAATGTTTAAAGATTTAATGGTACAGTATTTTTTTTCTCCACTATGTAATAGCAATCAGTAGCACTATATGTGTATACCTTGGTTTATATGGAAAGGCCCTGAGGTATTTATTAAAATTAGTCCAACAGGTTTCTATAGAATCAGTAAGGATTTTTAAAAATAACATTAACTGTAATACAATCTTATAGGTGAAGTTACATTTTTTTCTAATTTATGGGCCCACTTATGTGGGCCTAGTATGGACTTCCTGGATTTCACAGAAGTATTCTTAGATCATTTTTTGTTCTCTCTTAACTATAGAATTCCATTCTCCAAAAGGAAAACCATTCCAGAAGCTTGTTTGTACTGAAAATTCTCTGACTCATTCCTAAAATCACTCAGATAAAGTCCAGGATGTCTGGACCCACGGGCAAAAAAAGCAGCAGTTTATTTTTTAATCCTGTATTTATCTTCAGGTGGTGTCTGAATGGACAAAACCCAAACAAGCTGTACTGCCATACAGTCGGGTCATAAATTTTTACTCGTACTAAGAGCAGTGATAGATCTGTAGGGCACATCTTCCTTCCAGTTCCATATAAGTTTAGCTGCAAGGTAAATAAGCAAAGTATTAGCTAGTATGGGAAGTTTCAGAGTTAAAGATTATAATTTTTTCCTACATGTCTGCCTTTCCATATGTGTTTTTCAGTATGAATATATGCAGCTGTTTCATGCTGTTCTTAAGTGGAGATACATGACTCCTAGAGAGTGTTTCAGTGTGTTCTCCTAAAGTCCGCTTTAAATCAGGAGATTTTTGGCTATCCCATTAGGGTCTGATGTTTCCACTGTGGATGTGAGCAGTTGCCTTGAGAAGTAACCTTGTACCGAACAGGAAACACATCGGTTTCAGGGGGAGAGAGAGGAGTTGCTAACCCAAGCTATTTCAGATGAAGATTGAAGTTGTTAATAAATTTCAAGACCATTATTATGGGAAAATGATGAACTCGCATTTGACTTTTCATGCTTCTTAGTATGTTACAGCACCAAACTCTAGATTTTTTATCTCCCTAATCAATACAGTAATGTGGTATCCAATAGATGGTTGCACTTTTTATAGATCATCAGGTTTTTATTATCAAAATAATTATTATTAGTTATTAACTGTAGACCCAAATGGAGAGGCTGTATACGCATCTATATGAAAGACGATCACTTTTGGAAAGTATTTGTAATGTAAATAAATAGGGGCTGAATAAATAACAAATTGAGAAAGGCAGTTCAGTCACTGAGGATTGTTGTTAGACTGAAGGAACTTATAGGAAGGTTTTCTCTTGTGTATTTGATATGACAGAAATGCTAAGAATAAAAAACACCTAAAGGCTGATGTGACCATATAGGTAGCATATTAAATATGCTAGACATATCTGGATTGATTCAGCAAAGGATTTAGGATTAAAAAAAAAAAAAAAAAAAAAAAAACCAACCAAAACTTTTAGTTGTAACTCTGTCAGTTTAAAGAAATGAGCCAGGAAGATTACCTTGTCTACATCTTCACAAAAGACCAATTCTACTCTGTAAGGGCCAGATTGGAAAATAATTGCATAGTTAAGATGTGTAATAGTAAACATCTAAATTACTATTTTAACTACGTGCATAAAGAACAGGCCAGGTCACAGTGACATTCAACAGGATAAAAGCATACGATTTAGATACTTTGCGTTGTATTTAATTTGCCCTAAGGAAGACATCCAAAGTAGTTTTCTGAAATGCTCTATAACTATGCCTGTTTCTCTTTCTACAGACTTTAAGGGAACTCCAGGTGACTAGCAGTGATGTAGATACCTAAAAATGATTGCAAGTAATCCCACCTTTCCATCAGTTTGGATCTAGGTTCTGAAAGGAGAACTAGGTGGTAGGAGTGTGCACCAGAGAATGTAATGAAATCTTTTCTGATCACCAAAGGAAGGCAGGGGAACGGAAGATGCAAGTAGGAATTCAGTTCTTTTTCAAGTTTAGGCTGTGGAGATGTCAGGCACAGGCTATTGTTTGCACACTTATTTTAAAGTAGAGAGAAACCTTTAGGTTACCCATTGTTATTTTTTTCATTAAAGTCCTGGAGGTAAGTACAGGGACAAACAGAAAAGGAAGGGAAGCAAGGAAAAAGATCTAGGAGAGTTTCCACTGTATACCAGAGGAGAAATATGGCGAATCATCCAAATAAGATACTGGAAGAACTCAGGAAACGGAAAATTTGGAAAAAAAGCTCATAGAAGGAAGGGCCTTAAATAACGTCAGGCTTTCCAAGAGAAGAACTTGTGGTTAGTGGTGAAATAGAGCAGATGATGTGCTGAATGATGTCCCCTAATGCCTGAGGAGCTTTGAGAGCCACAACCCTGCAGCAGGGAGCAGGGATTGAGGAAACCTGAAGAGCGTAGGACAAAACTGTCATGACTAAAGCTACTAAACATACTTTGCTGTTTAATGGTTACCTGTTAGAACAGATTCTCAAGAAAAGAGTAAAGCAATTAATATTTCCACATCAGACTTCACATGTGGTTTGCCAGCCTGATTAGTAAAGTAACTGTTCACTCTTAGCTCACAGGCTGCTTTTTTCCTCCCCAAAATAGCGTAAGGGCTGTAAGCGGCAAGTATGAGCCTCAGCTATTTTCCACATTATCAGTGG